CGTGGGCGCCAACCTGACCGTGCTGCGCGCTGCCGCCTTCGCCGGGGACGAGGAGGGGGCGGCCGTGCGCCTGCCGCTGCTGGCCGCGCTGCGCCTCACGCAAAACAACATCGAGGTGGTGGAGGACGGCGCCTTCGACGGACTGCCCAGCCTGGCGGCGCTCGACCTGAGCCAGAACCCGCTGCGCGCCCTGGGCGGTGCCGCCTTCCGCGGGCTGCCCGCGCTGCGCTCGCTGCGGCTCAACCACGCGCTGCTTCAGCGCGGCCCCGCGCTGCTGGACGCGCTGGACGCCGCGCTGGCCCCGCTGGCCGGCCTGCGCTTCCTGGGCCTGGCGGGCAACGAGCTCGGCCACCTTCCGCCCGCCGCGCTGCGCCTGCCGCGCCTCGAGCAGCTGGACGCGCGCCGGAACGCACTCACCGTCTTGGGCGCAGACGAGCTTCGCGCGCTGGAGCGCGATGGCGACCTCGCGGGGCCTCGCCTGCTGCTCGCCAACAACCCTCTGCGCTGCGGCTGCACCGCGCGCCCTCTGCTGACCTGGCTGCGCAACGCCACGGAGCGCATCCCCGACGCGCGGCGCCTCCGCTGCGCCGCCCCGAGGCCGCTGCTCAATCGCTCGTTCCTGGACCTGGAGGAGGCGGAGCTGCGGTGCGCGGCCGAGGGCAACGCCGACGGCCGCGGGGACGACGCGGGACTCGCCGGCCCCGAGCTGGAGGCCTCCTACGTCTTCTTCGGGCTAGTGCTGGCGCTCATCGGCCTCATCTTCCTCATGGTGCTTTACCTGAACCGCCGCGGCATCCAGCGCTGGATGCGCAACCTGCGCGAGGCCTGCAGGGACCAGATGGAGGGTTACCACTACCGCTACGAGCAGGATGCAGACCCTCGCCGCGCGCCTGCTCCAGCAGCCACCGCCAGCTCCCGAGCCACCTCCCCGGGCTCAGGCCTCTGAACCTCGCCTGGTGGGCAGCGGGGACTGCTCGTGCTGGCGATTGCCCCTCTTGGGGCGCTGTGGCCTGCCCCAGCAGGATCTGAAGCGGTGGATAAGAAACGTCGCGGCCCGGGGGCTCTGAGACCAGCCTTGGACCGACCTGAGAACTTTGGATCATGGCATTGCCCCACCCAGAGGCTCCAAGCCAGCCGCACCCCAGTCTTCCTAACCCCCTAGAGCTTCTACCATCATAGACCCCGAGCCACCTCTGTGGATTCCAGAGACCTGACCCTTCCATACAGGTTCTGACTCATCCCGCCTGGACCACAGAGAGCCCACTTGCCCTCTTAGACTCACTCACAGGCTCTGTCCTTCACACGGGAAGCTCTGAACCGTCCTTCATGCTGAGCCCCGGGCTGCTCCAACTGAAAATGTCGACACCCTGACTGCTCTCCCTGTAGCCAAGAGCCCGCGCTCCCCTCTCAGGGCTCAGGGGTCCTGGGTGGCATCGTGCTCTGTTTTTTGGGTTTTGGTTTTTTTCAGGCAGAGCACCCCCGTGGAAAGGAGTCTGTTGGCATTGCTCCCTTGGTCCAGTTCCAGAGCTCGGAGCCCTCTACTCTGCCTGGACACCCACATCACTGAGCTTAGAGGGGGCCCATCCCCAGTCTGAAGATGTGTTTCATACCTCCTGTCTCCCACCACCCCAGCTCTGGGCTTGGGGCCCAAGCTCCCAGTCGAGACCGGCACAGCCCATTCTAGCCTTAGGGTGGCACCAACCCTCACCATTCCCCACTGGGGCCCTTATCCCTCAACACTCTGCCTGTCCCCAGCATCATCCACCTGCCTGAGACTGAGGCTCTCCATCCCCCTCACCCCATGACTTGTTATCAGTACCACCCCCCCCACACACACACACACTGGGCCAAGGCCCGAGAAGCATCCCTCCTCTGGGATGTGCCCATCCCTATCCCTCTCTCTCGCTAAGCTCGCTAGTCTTCAGGGTGGATGCCTAGCACTCCTACCACCTACTGGCAGACTTGGGGGAGGAAGAGAGTCCTAGGGGTACAGCAGGAATGGTCGGGCCTCAGACCCGGGGTGCCTCATCCATCCATGCCTCAGGAGTTGGGGGTGGCTGCAGGATAGGGAGCTGCTGCCCCTTGATTTCCCCATCTCTTGGGGTCCCTTTCCCACCCCCCGCCCCCCACACACACACCTATGCTTTCTGAAAGAGAACGGAGTCTCGCCTCTTGACTCAGGCACAAGCCCTCCTGTCCAGGGTCAGAGCTCTGCCTTCTGCATGATCCCAAAGCACAATTGGTAAGTAGGGAGAGGACTGCTTCTCCCTGACTTCCCACCCCTAGGTCAAGCAGAATGGCTGACCTGTGCAGCCTCTGCGCACAGGAAGCCCCTCACCCCCAATACTGGCCTGAGGCCTGACTTCCCTCCCCCACACCCCTCAAAGCTGGATCTCCCTTGGGTGATTTTCTATAAAGTCTGCAATAACCTCCAGCACTCGTGCTTCTCCGAGGTGCCGCGTCATTCCTGCCACCCTGGGGGCTGGGATCTGGTGGGAGGGAGGGTTTGTCGGACCACTCAGAGGTGGGCCAGTGGCCCTGGTTGTCTTCTCAGGAAATACGTGGGCCCTGACTGCATAGTAGGGTTGTGGTTTGACACAGGGAGGGACTTCGCACTGGGTTGGCGTGGTTCTCCAAACTCATTCTGCGTTTTGTTTCCTGCAATGGGGCTATCCGCAGCAGGATGGGATCCTAACCGTGTATGTGTGTATGTGGGGTGGGGGTAGGGGAGTAGTTAGACTAACAAACACTAGACACAAAGCTATGCTGGGGCGGGGGTGGACTTTATCCACTGGGAATCAGATGCAATTAATTCCCCCTGCAGGCAAAAGCAGGGCTCATTTGCTGCTTTGGGATTGTCCCTCTGATGAATGACCTGATACTCCCTCATGTCCTGTGGTGTCCTTACTCCCCTGGCTGGTGAGGGGAGTGCAGGGGAGAGGGGAAAGGAAAGCGGAGAGAAGCGGCTGCCTAGATCAAACGAGCCCTGCACAGATGCAGAAAGAAGAGACTGGTGGGTTCCAGGCCAGGGAAGCCAGGCTAAGGGGCTTATTTCTTGCTTTAAAGTCCAGGCAGGATGATCTCACATTCCGAATCTCAAGGACCATAAAACAGAAGTCTAGCATTCATTATCCGAGAATATGTGCCTTCTAGAAGTCTCTGCTGTCAGGGAACCCAATGATCTGTGGTTCAAACCCACCAGCCACTGGGTGGGAGAAAGAGGAGGCTGTCTGCTCCCAGTGAAGACTGACAGCCACAGAAACCCCAATGTAGGGTTGCTAGGCATCCGAATTGCCTGGATGGTAATGGATGGGACCTTACAAGCCATGTGGGTCATCTCCTCCGCTGCCTCAACATACAGCTCCTCCTTCATTGCCAGAGTATTCGGCACCCCCTACAGGCCCAGCCTTGCCTTGGGGCCAGGAGAGGGTCTCAGCCCAAGACAGCCCTTCACAGTGAGGGGGAACAACGCTGGGGCTGGATGATCTCCCAGCAAACCATGCCCTTCTCCCAGCCATCCCTAATGGGAAGGAGCTAGCACCCCTGTCTGAGGCTGTCACAGGCAAGCTGGGTGCCCAGTTCAGACTGACCATCCAGTCTTTTAGACTCCTGCTGGGCTCCTCCTACTTCCCACCCGGTTGTGTGGCTCAGGGTAAGCCAGAGGTGTCTCAGGTGAGGGCCATGTGGCTTGACCCTGTTCACAGGGTCCTAGAAGCCTGGGGGTCTGACACGCTCTGTCTGTGTGTAGTCTTTTCATGTCTGCCACACTCCTCACAGTCACATGCCTTTTATCTTCCTTTCCTCTCTCCAGGGTAAGTGCCTCCCACCCCCAGCCTTTGCCCTTGCAGCCCCCAGGCCTCTGCCCACCCTAGACTTCCAGCACCAGCTCCAGCATGTCTGAGAGCGCCTCCAAAAGCTCATAGAAAAGTTCCGTGATCTTATTCCACGTCTCTTTTAAGTTACATGCCCGCCCCCCATAGTTTGATCGAGATAAAATTCACGTGTCGTGCATACCCTTCCGTTGTTCAGCCATATCTGCAAAGAGTTGTATGCAATCCCAACAGTCAGCTCCAGCTCCTCTTCCCTCCTCTGCA